ACAGAATTAAGTTTTTTGAAAATCTAAAAATGCTGAAAGTTTCCTGTGAGGGGTAGGTTTAGGTGTAGGGTTGGTGTAGGGCAATAGAATATACGGTCTGTACAGTATAAAAACCATTACGCCTATGGGGAGTCCCCATAAACCACGAGTGTGTGTGTGTGTGAGTATGTGTGTGTACCTGTTTTTCTATTCTGGTGGGGACTTAAACCTGAATCCACACAGACTCATGGGGACTCGTGTCACTGTGGGGACCTAAATTGTGGTCCCCACGGGTAGAAAAGCTTATAAATCATACAGAATGAAGTTTTTTGAAAATCTAAAAATGCAGAAAGTTTCCTGTGAGGGGTAGGTTTAGGGGTAGGGTTGGTGTAGGGCAATAGAATATACGGTCTGTACAGTAGAAAAACCATTACGCCTATGGAGAGTCCCCACAAGGATAGCTGACCAGACATGTGTGTGTTTTTTTTTTTTTTTCATAGATCAGTGAAAGAACCTCTGAAATCCTTCGACTCGTAACACTGTCGATCAGCATTACATCGCCATCCTCAGGCTGAACAACGCAACAACAACAGGCCGCTGCCAACAGCGTGTCTCCATGTGTTCAATATTTACAGTCATCATAATTATATTCATTATATGGCCCAGAATCTACCACACCTACATTTACGGTCAGGAGCAACTACTGGAAACAATATGAACGGACTAGTCCAGAGCTAACTAGTCTCACACAGTCCTACACAAAATGTAAGCTAATCCACAGAGGAACGAACGGCTTAAAGGGAAAAATGGTTCAGTAAAATCCAGAGTTTAATCCAGCAGAAACGCAGAATGGAAAAAACTCCAATGTCTCCAGTTCAAAAGTTAAGACATTTAAAGGGGTGGTTGACTGGTTTTTTTCTAGGCTTGGTTGTGTTTATGGGGGGCAGTATAACATGGGTTTATGCTTAGTTTTTTAAAAAACGCATTCTTTTTCACATAATTTACCTTTATTCCACACCGATCTGTCCCTTCTCTGACAAACGACTCGATCAGAATATTAATGAAGAGGATCCCGCAGAACCTGTGCAAGCACGGCTCTTAATGGTATGTTTGTTTGTTGTTGTCTGTAAATGCTACTGCTTCTGTTAGCTTTTAATATACAGCTTTATTCTGATTAAAGCTTTAATACAGCACAGCAACCGTACGCACGTCCATGTATAACGCTTCTCATAGCTATGTGAAAATAAGTGTATAAATGGAACAGTTTGTTGGAGCTGATCTGACGATCTGAATGAGAGAGAGAGAGCGAGAGCGAGAGAGAGCGAGAGAGAGAGAAAGAGAGCGAGAGAGAGCGAGAGAGAGCGAGAGAGAGAGAAAGAGAGAGAGCGAGAGAGAGCGAGAGAGAGAGAGCGAGCGAGAGCGAGAGAGAAAGAGAGAGAGCGAGAGAGAAAGAGAGAGAGCGAGAGAGAGAGAGAGAGAGAGAGAGAGAGAGACACAGAGAGAGAGAGAGAGATGCAGAGCAGGGCGACGTGAGGAACAGGATTGAGAACGCTGCTTTAGAACATTAGTTTTGAAACATGTGAATACATTAGAATCGTTAGAAGACAGAATCGCGATTCATATATGAACAGATTTTTACGTGCACCCCTAGTTTTCTCTTCCTCTTCTGTAAAGCAGCGCAGCATGGCCACGCCCCCTTTGCTGCGTGTTCCCGGGGGCGGGGTTTATCTGGGTTCGTGACGTAACGGACTTGGGAAGAAGCTCGTTGTAGTCCTTACCAGCCGTTTTTGTAGGCATTAAACTGCCAGAATTTTAAAAGACGATATCTCCGTTTGCATTGAACTTTCAGCGCTGCAACTTTGCAGATATTGTTTATGCTCAAACAGCAACACTACACACTAACTAACGTTAAAAAAGTGAAATCGCAATCAACCACTGATGACAAACAACAATCTGATGCTGTTCTTCTATCCAGGTGATCTGAACTGTGCTGCAATTACATGGTATCACACAAAATGCACTCGATGTGCAGAAACACCTGACAGAACAATGTTTTTGTGTCGCCTCATCTTCACACAGATCTGTGTGCATGTGCAGCACTTAAACGTCTGAAAGCAGCATCAGCGTCAGGTTTGTGTCACAGCTGCTCTCCACTAACAGCTTCATTTCTGATGTCTCTGTGATGCTGAATCCAGCAGTGCGTGCAGCTCTTTACTCACAGGAGTGTTTGCAATGCTAAAATATCATTATTGTTGTTATGAATTTTCAAATTTACTATTTTACAAGAAAGGCAGAAAAATAGTAAAGCACTTTATTATTTTTTTATTCAGATGCCCAATTACAGTGAATACAGTCTAACAAATTTGGTAAACACTATCAGCTTAAATTTATTAGAGCACCTGTCATAATAAAGAGAAAACAAATACTTTAGGAATCTGTCAAAAAGTTTGTTTTTTATTAGGCAAACAACAAACTGAAACAACTAAATAGTCTTTTCTCACACATAACCAAATAATGTAATATTTTGTATGGTCTCGATAACAGCTGTGACACAAACCTGGCGCTGATGCTGCAGCTCTCAGAGAAAGCAGCTGGAGCAACCTGATGCTGCAGCAGAGCAAACATAAAAACGCCCTGAAAGCACCAGAAGCATGATAGAGATGAATCCTGGTTTACCTCCGGCACCTCAGCATCGTGCTCGGGCGACTCTCCTCCATCATCGCTGGTCTTCCTCTTGCGCTTGTTGCGAACACTCTGGATGAAGTTCTTGTGGAAATCACAGATGTACAAATGCCGAACCTGTGGGCAAAAAATGCCACTTTAATGTGTGTTAGAAAACAGAATAAACTAAAAACAAGCACATTCTGGCCAGATGCACCACTGATCCGTGTGTGTGTATATTCATGTTTGCATGCACAGATATTCACTACAACACAGTAGTGAACAGACACAAAGCCTTCGCTGTCAGGACGAAAACAATCAGACAAAACATCATGCAAATACTGTGCCAGAATTAAAGAGCTGCTCAGAAGTCGCGCAGGTTTGATTGGCAGCGCCTCAGACTCTTCAAACACACACTTTTAGGCCCAGTTTCGCAGCCTGGCGGCGGAAAGCGGCCCTCGGGGCTCGGTAACGACTCTTACGCTCTTGTCGATGTCCAGCTTGAGCTTCCTCTGGCTGATGCTCTTCTGGATGCGCTTGCTGAAGGACGCGTTCCCCGCCGCGCGGCCGCAGCGCTCCCCGTCCTCGATCAGACAGCAGCTCTGGCCGAAGAAGGGCGGCGCGGGCGGCGCGTCGTGGCTGTCCTCTTCCGTGCTGAACCCGTTCATAACGGGCACTTCCAGGGAGAGGCGGTCGGGTTTAACGCAGCTGAAAGCCAAACTCGATGCGTTCCGAAGAGCCGAGCTCGCGCCACGGATGAACGAACGGCTCGCCGAGCGAAGCGTCCAGAACGAGAATCTCCGCGACGCTTCGGATCCGATTCGCTGAAGACTTCACTGGAGCAGCCGAACTGTCACATCCGACGCAGGAGAACCGACCGTGTCCGCGCCGAAACTGCAGATTTGACGCGCTACAAACTACGAGGCCATTTCAACAACATACACACAATGAAACAAGTCTTGCCAGAAACCGGAAGTTGTAGCTCTGAAAGACCATTGGTTGGTTTCCGAACAAGGCGGTTCTCCGAGGCTGCGTCTTCGATTTCTGTTGGTCAGCGCGCGCGTCAATCAAACGCCACTTCCTGACTATCGCTGTCATGCAACGCCTCACTGGAGCACTCACACACACACACACACACACTCACTTTCATGAGACTTCAGCTACTCAATCTCATGTTATCGATGCGAAGATTGCGTGTAAAACACAAAGCTTTGTTTATTATAATGATAACGGGACGCTGTGTTGTTTATAGTGTCCCGCATCTAAAACTGGACATCTGATAAGAGTCACTGCTCCAGAGCACATGCAGAGGAACAGACGACTGGACATCGATTAAATAGAGAAATAAAGTTGTTTTAAAAGGGAGGAGAAAGTGCTTTCGTCTTTTGTTGTCCTGCTGGAGCAAAAACACTCCAGAAGTGCTTTGCTCTGGGTGAAATGAGTTATTTGCATTGATGTTAAGCTGTTGAAAACTCATGGCTGATGTGTCATAAGCGGGTTCTGAGGGTCTTTATTTAACACGAGTCTAGATGCCGCAGTAAAGATAGTTTGCGGTTTGATATTCAGATTTCTTTTGGCTATAAATACGCAGTGTGCTGTCATCAGGGTTTTTTTCGTAGCGACTCTTAATTGTATAATGCCTATAGCTCCGAAAGTTTGACACTTAGAGGAACGAAACGGTGTCATCTTCACCAGCTTCATCTGTGAATGCCTTCACAGTAAACCCCTTGGTATTTGCATGTCTATGACAGCACACTGCGTATTTATAGCCAAAAGAAATCTGAATATCAAACCGCAAACAATTTTTACTGCGGTGTCTGAGTTCACATTCCCTGCACACAAACAGCTGCTGCAGATCTTAACAATCATTCACACAAAACTAATGCATGATTTCAGAACTTCAGAAAACACTGTTCCAGGAAAAACATGCGACTACATCACTGCAGAACATTTTCCTAAAGAGGCTATGAAAACTCAATTTGAATTCAGGCAAATTATGCAAGTAAATACAAACTATTCCAAATAAGACCAGGACAGTTTTACAGTAGTATTTGTACTAAAGGAGAAAAAGGTTTAATGGCTTTTCTATGACGGCATAATTTTGCAATAATTCAGACTTGAAATGACACAAAACATTATTGATACAAATGAACAGAAAAATAACTGAACCCACTACACAGTTATCTGTGCATGAATAATAATAATTTATGATGAGCAGTTTAAATGCTGGCAGAACCGTTTTAATGCATCAGTGACAAACCTGTGTAAAATTACTACTGTTCCCAAGATTCAACCCAAGACTTATTACCACATCATCATATTCCACACACACACACACACACACACTCACACACACACACACACACACGTCTGGAAACTCATCAAGGCAGGAGTTTTACACCATAACAAACCAACAGCTGGTTCTTAAACATTTCAGTTCAAAAGCTCCAGTATTAAACTCAGTTATTAAGCTCAGTATTAAACTCTATAATTATTCACATGTGCGTCTGACACACTGGTCCACCAGACACAATAGCAATAATTCATTATGAAACCCAGGGCTCTCTTTAGAATCGACAGAAATTACAAACTCGTTAATACTCGAAAACAGGCTCTGGACAAAGAACCGTCTGAAAGTGCTGGACAGATCAACTTTAAAACAGCATCGGATCAAAGAAACATTTCAAAGTGCTTGGCAGATAATCTGTAAAAATATTTAATGGTAAAAACGGGTCAAACGCTCAACAACACTGAATGTAGAGAACTAGACTAGTGTGCTGTGCGTCACAGCAGCATCTTTCAGCAAGGCACGTCGACTGGATTCAAGTTACACATCGTGTTGCTCATGTGCATTAGAAACAGCATCATGCAGGATCCGTCTTTGGGTGCCAGCAGTTACTGAGAACCAGTGGATCTCAGCTGGTTATATCAGAGACAGACGGGGGAGAAGCAAACAGCAGAAAATGCAGCTGACCAAATAATCTAGTAAAGTATAATCCGGTCGTTCCACAGTCTTCTGCTGTGCAGGAGTGATTCTTAACTGCATTGTTGTTTACGGTACAAAATCATGAAAACAGGACTGACTATTTGAGATTTCCCCGATGGACAAACCTGACAAAATATAACCGCTTCTGAATGATGAAGCTGTACATGATTTTAGCTAACAGGGTTCGACACATAACCGCCTTGAAGCCTTTGTAATAAAACATTATGTCCTCCAAAATGAAAAAAACAAATACGTCTATATTTGTTAACACAACAAAGAGAAGCTGGATAATAAAATCATGTTTTAAACACAGTGCTCAGTAAAGGCTGCTGTGGGTGTTTCATCGTTCACGATGAGCCCAGTGTTTCTGGGGAATGACTCAGAACAGTCAAATAAATAAACCTCTTAATCTTTACAAGGGACGGCATCAGATTAGCATTTCTGAAGGACAAACTGTGACGTGTTTGCAAGGCAGCCGACAGTCTGAGGCTCTGACTCTGTGTAAAGACTCGTCTGTTAACCGCACACAAGAATCAGAGACGGGAGGATGATGACTGAACAGAAGCACAATCCAATCACTCAGTCTGCCAATGAGTGACAACATCACTGTCTTTGAGACGTTCCTCAGACGCACCGAAGCAGACGAAGAGCATCAGTCAAACGCTGCCCTGCAAACACTCTTACTGATCATTTTCAGGTCAACGGGGTGAAAGTCAGCAGAAGTGATGATGATGATGATGATGGGAGTGTGGAGAGAAGCACAGAGCTTCAGCTTCTCCAGCGGTTTGGAGTCAGACGATCAGAACAGAGTTTCATCGGTTCAGTAAAGGCACAGGAACGTCTCTCTTCGGAGAGCAGCGGCACGTCGTGATCACGAAGCTCTCGCCGGCATCAGCTGACCGGTGGATTCTCATGTTCATATTGGCAGCATTATTCGTTGTGATTGCTGTTGAAGGAGTCTAAGACCGTGGCGTTGGTGTTCTGGAAGAGCCACCGCTGGCTGAGAGACGAGGGATCGCAGGAGTTCATGAAGATCCGCTTCTGTGCAGCATCAGAGTCAACACAGCTGTTACTGATGGGGTGATAGAGGCTCTTATCCTGCCACACACACACACACACACACACACACACAGAGACACACACACACACAGAGACACACACACACACATCAGTATGCCACAGTTTACAGCTGAAAATGACAACAATCAGGCACAGTTTTATTCACATGTAAAAGGGTTCATATGCAGCATCTGTGGGAGTGACGGTAAATCTGACATCGTTTTCTCTTCTGACTGCCGTTATCAATCTCTCTCTATTTTTTCCTCTTTTTGAAAGTCGTGAAAACACTATCGTGGAGTTTTTCTCTTGCTAAATATATTTGATGTGGTCTGCCGTTCACCCAACTAGGACGACTTTCACTTCTGTGAAAAAGGTCCATCATCAAAAAGAAAAATGTCTTTCTCAGTGCAGTGTCTTTCTCGGGACTTGTTTCAGAGCATCGGTTGTTGATTGGATGTTGAGATGTGGGCGTGGCTGGAGGGTAAGTGTGACAGGAAGTTCAAAATAAACTTTGTTCTGAATGCTAAACTCACCTGACAGTAGAGAAGGTCAAATGAAGCATTAACTCTGACTAATGTTTCTAATGGCTGATGGAGAACGAGCTCCCTGTACAGAATGACGTGTCTGCACAGATGTGGAGATGCTGATGTACCTTCCTGTAGGCCCACAGCTGGTTCCCCTTCATCCCGTGGCAGTCGTAGAGCGTCACGGGGCTGTTGTGTGACACGGCGTCGAAGCAGACCTTCTTAGTGTGCAGCGGGTCTCCCACCCGTATGTCTTCTCTCCAGCCGAACGTAAAGACCTGCACAACATACATACAGACTCTTACTGTTATTGCATTAATGCATTCAGCTACATTGCATCCTCGTACATTCATAACACATTTGTCAAACTGAAATCAGCTCATCCAAATAATGCACTGAGAAAGACAGAATCTACCTTTCACATTCTTCAGTGCATGGATTCCCTGGGAACGGATCTGAGTCTCTCACCTGACCGTGACTCCAGGTCGGCTCGCCTCGTCCCTTCAGACACTTCTCCAGACGGATCGGGGAGCCCGAGGAGAAGTGTTTGCTCTCCATGCAGAGACCGGAGGCGCCGTTACGCAGCTGAAAACAAGCACACATCTCTGCAAGGATCAATACACACTTCTGACTTACCCAGAGCGACTTATACTCAGCTTTGTGTAATGTTATGTATGTAATTAATCTTAAACCAGCCTAAACTGGTTTGCTGGGCTTAGCAGGTCTCTCAGCCTGGTTAGGCTGGTTTAAGAGGGTTTTGGGCCATCCAGCTAAACACAGACTATCTGAAACCAGATTAAATCACCTGGCACCTCAGACTGGTTTCAGCAGGAAAATCCTAAACCATCTTTGAAACGTGTTTAATTATTGATTAGTGAGGCTATATGAGTGGTTCTGGGTGAGATGTGAGCTCCTCAGCAGGTGTTTTGGGCCGTTAGCACGCACCTCTCCCCACGCAGCGGCCGGAGGCTCCACCGGAGGATAGTGTTTGGCCAGATCCCAGGCCACCTCCGTCATGAACCAGCGGAAGCTCCTGCAGCTCAGCCGGCTCCTCAGCTGCTTCTGTGCGGACACGTCTCCGGCGGACAGGTGCCGGTACTCCGGCCGCCGCTGGTAGATATACTCCGCATACTCGTCCATCCACACCTCGGCCACACGCTTCAGATTCTGCAACACAGCGGCGGATCACACATATACAGGTCCCTGCGTGTTACTGAACACATGCACGGTGCTTTGGTTTCGTTTTATACTGATGTCTCTACTGTTTAATGCCAGCTCACTGAGGACTGTTTCTCAACCGTAAAGTAAGCCTGCATATCCAGACGGCCTTCATTATTTTGAAGGATGCATAGAATCACCCACAATCCTTTGCACACATTTCAATTCAGAAAATGAATCGGCGCTGACCTCTCCTACTTCATTATGAACTTCAAAAGAGAGAAATGATTTCGGAGATGAGGGCATTATGTTTTGTTGTGAATTAACCACATAATGCTGAACTATTCATAATGGACACCACTGGGAGACGCAGACGGATGTTATTCACTGTACTGCATCAATAGAAAGTCAGTCGTAATATAAGTATTTACTAGAGCGTCTCACTCTCATGTTTAACGCTGAGGACGCCGCACGCAGCCTTCCGTCTGAGAAACACCCGAGATCTTCCCTGCTTTAACTGCAGAGATGTAGTAAATCTGATCTGCTTGGTCTCAGAATGATCCGGATCTGGATGTGTTTGTCGGATCTGATGCTCAAACTCACCCTGGCGAGACTCACTCCACCCGGCACTTTATAGGGAACGTATTTTCTGTAGATGTGACCCACGCGTGAGCAGGGAATGTCCTCCATACGGCCACCACACATCCACACCTCAGAGAAGATGAAAACAGTCTTTCAAATGAATGGAAACACACGCGGACAGTGACACAAGTACTACAGCACTACAGACGGCAAACACAGACACTAAACTCACTCTGAAGCCTGCTTACATTCACAGCGTGTTCTCCTGAAGACACTAGGGGGCGCTGTATCTGACTTTACTGTGAATGATAGGAGATTATACTGATCTAAAACAACACAGAAATATAATACACGCAGCTCTGGTTATATTCTCAGCCTCAGATGTGGGATGTTTTTGACTATTGTTATTCGCTATCACAGCAACCGCTTGTGTGTACGAGATTAACGTGCGTTTAATGAATGAAAAGTGGCTGAAACACGTGAGAGCGCAAAATAACAGGAAAGGCTTGATGTGTACCGGTGACTGTACATTAATTAAAGCTATTCTATTCACTAGGATAATGACATAGCAACTGTTGCTGTCGATCAAGTTTCATTCATAATATTTCCTCCTTAAAGGTGCTATAACCGTACTATCATATCGCTGTCGACTGTAAGCAGGTGCATTAGGCCTGTGCCACAACGATTACCTTGAAGGAGATCTCGTACTGCTCTCCTCCCCAGATCTCCAGACCCGTGTCATATCCTCCCAGCTCCCAGAACCACTTCCTGTCCACAGCGAAGAGACCGCCTGCCATCACCGGAGACCTTACCGAGAAGAAAAAGAGACTAAACTAAAAACACAGTAAAACATAAGCACTGAAGCACTGAGCAGCACACAAAGAGATCACCGAAATACACCTTTAATGAGAATACTCAGACTGTTTCTGCTGCTCATGAAACCCTTCTGATCAATGAGACACGAGTGAATGAATTCAGTACTTTAATTCAATAAATGATTTATAAATAAATGTAGTTAATTACGTTTTTATTTATCTATGCGTCACTTTCTGTCTTCTGTGGAGCACAAAAGAAGATATTTTGAAGAATGTTTTTGTCCATACAATGAAAGTCAATGGGGTCAAAAAACACTGCAGGCCTGTTTACACTTGAGTTTTCACTGATTGAAAAAAAATCAGGTGTAAATGCCCTCCAGCTTTCCAGACACAAACAGATCTGCTTGTTCAAGCCACAGAAGTATATTTCACGCCTTTGATGTATAAAATGCAGCGCTGATGACATAACATGTAACATCTGTTGCTGAGTTTGTGAAGTGAACTCCACTGATTTAGCATATAGCATGGATATCGATTATTAGATTTATATCGGTTTTGATGAGTGGCCAAGTGTCAATTAAACATATTGGATAATGACACGACTGATCAAGATGCAGGAAGTGACCAAGTGTGAATATTCAAAACATCTTCCCTCTTGACTGTCAGAAATAAAATATTTTATGGAGAAATAAACTGCATGCAATATGTAACACAGACACACACACACACACACACACACACACACACACACACACTCTCACACTCTCACACTCTCACACTCACACACAGACACACACACTCAC